GAAGTAGGGGCAAGGAGGTGGAGAGGGGGGAGGAGGTGGAGAAGGGGAAGGAGGGGGAAAGAGGGAAGAATAGAGGGGAAAGGAGTGGAGGAAGAAGGGGAGAGGGCCGGGGCAGAAGAGGAAGGAAGAAGCGAGCAAAAGGGAATGGGGAGGAAGGGGATGGAGGGGAAGAGAGGGAGGGGGACGAATCAGAGGGGCAAGAGAGTGATGGAGAGGAAAATGGAGGTGAAGGGGATGGGGGGGACGATGATGGGGGGAATGATGGTGGGGGGAATGGAGGTGGGGGGAATGGTGGTTGGGGGAATGGTGGTGGGGGGAATGGTGGTGGGGGAAATGGTGGTGGGGGAAATGGTGGTGGGGGGAACGATGGTGGGGGGAATGGTGGTGGGGGGAACGATGTTGGGGGGAATGGTGGTGGGGGCAACGACGGTGGGGGGAGCGATGGTGGGGGTAATGGGGGGGGAGGGGGCAATGGGGGGGATGACGGTGGTGGCAACAATGGGAGAGATGATAAGGGAAGCAACGGGAGGAGAGATGATGAGGAGAACGAAGGAGACGGGGAAGGGAGGGAAGGCGAAGGGGAAGAGGATGCGGAGGAAAGAGGTGGGGAGCAAGGAGATGAGGATGATGATGCTGAAGGGGGGGAGAAGGGCAGTGCGGAGAAAGGTAATGGACAGGAGGACGGGAAAGTGGAGGATAGAGGGGGGCAGGAAGGAAAAGAGGTAGGGAAAGTTGAAGGAGGTATAGAGGATGGAGGGGAGGAAAAGGAGGAGGAAGGGAAGGGGGAAGGAGAGGCAGAAGGGAAGGAGGAAGTAGGGAAGGAGGAAGGGAAGGAGGAAGTAGGGAAGGAGGAAGGGAAGGAGGAAGTAGGGAAGGAGGAAGGCGGGAAGGAGGAAGGGAAGGAGGAGGAAAGTGGGAAAGAGGAGGAAAGAGGGAAGGAGGAAGGAGAGGGTGAAGGGGAGGAGAAAGGAGGGAAGAAAGAAGGAAAGGAGGAACAGGAGGAGGATCAGGATGAAACAGGAAGGAAAGCGGGAGCTGAAGTGGAGGGAGCGAGTGAAATGGAAGTAGAAAAAGAGCAGGGAGAGATTCTGGATTCAGGGCAGGGTTGCAGCAGGGCAGCAGCGAGCAGTGCGGCAGCAGATTCTGGAGCCATGTGGAGGCATGAGGGCGGAGGGAGTGAGATGAAAGTATCAGAAGAGCAGGGGAGAGAGAACCGGGGATGCAGCAGGGCAGTTGCGACCGCTGTGGATGCATATGCGGGACCTGTGGGGGTGGAGGAGGGCGGAGGGAGGGGGATGAAAGTAGAGGAACATCAAGGGAGACGTAGCCGGGGTAGTGTGGATGTAAAAGGTGCATCTGTAAGGGGATATGAGGGAGGAGGAAGTGGGGAGAGCGAGGGGGGCAGTGGGGAGAGGGGGGGAAAGAGTGGGGAGAGGGGGGGAAAGAGTGGGGAGAGGGGGGGAAAGAGTGGGGAGAAGAGGGAGGGAAGAGGGGAGAGGGATAGTGCTGAGCAGGGCGGGAACGGGAGGGAGAACGAGGGGAAAATGGAGGGGACGGGGAATGAGGGGAAGGGAGATGAGGGGAAAGGAGATGAGGGGAAAGGGCATGAGGGGAAAGGGCATGAAGCAAAAGCGGATGACGGGAAAGGGATTGAAGGGAAAGAGACTGAGGGGAAAGAAAGTGAGTGGAAGGGTTGTGAGGAAGAGGAGATTAAGAGGAGTGGGAATGAAGAGAAGGGGAATGAGGGGAAGGAGAATGAGGAGAAAGGATTTGAGCTTAAAGCGCTTGAGGCAAAAGGGCATGTGGGGACAGCAGATGAGGGGACAGGGAATGAGGGGAGGGAAAATAAGAGGAGTGGGAGTGAGGTGAAAGGGGATGAGGGGGGAGGGCATGAGGGAAAAAGGGATAAGTGGAACGGGATGGAGGGGGGGGTTTGTGAGGGTAAGGAGATCAGGATAAAGGAGAATGAGAGTAAGGGGAATGAGGGGAAGGGGAACGATGGGAAGGTGAAGAGGGGAGGTCATGCTGATATAGGGGATGTGGAAAAGGGGATTGAAGGGATTGAAGGGAAGGAGATTGAGGGGAAGGAGATTGATTGGAAGTGGCAAGAGGAGGAGGAGGAGGGGAAAGTGAATGGGGAGGAAGGGATTGATGGAGAAACGAATGGGTTGAGAGAGATTTTTGGGAGTAAGAAAGAGGATAGCGGAAAAAGCGGGGGTAGTGCAAAGGTGATTGTAGGGAAAAGGAGTGGGGAGGAAGGGAAAATCGAGGAAAGTGATGGAGAAAAGAGGGAGGAAAGGAAGATGGAGGAAAGGAAATTGGAGGAAGGGAAGTTGGAGGAAGGGAAGTTGGAGGAAGGGAAGTTGGAGGAAGGGAAGTTGGAGGAAGGGAAGTTGGAAGGGGAAAAGGCTGAAGAAGGGAGGGAAGAGGAAGGGAAGGTGGAGGAAACAGCGATGGAGGAAGGGAAAATGGAGGAAGGAAAGATGGAGGAAGGGAAGATGGAGGAAGGGAAGTTGGATGAAAGGAAATTGGAGGAAGGGAAAGTGGAGGAGGAAAAGGTTGAGGAAGGGGAGGAAGAGGAAGGGAAGGTGGAGGGGGAAAAAGAGGTGGAGGAAGGGACAGTTGAATCGACAGAGGAAACGACAGAGGAGGATGGGGTAGAATGGGTAGGAGGGGAAGGGGAGGAGGATGAGGTGAGGATGTGTGCGGAAGGGGAGGAGGATGAGGGGGAGGAGGATGAGGTGAGGGTGTGTGGAGAGGAGGAAGAGGATGAGGTGAAGGTGTGTGTGGAGGGCGAGGAGAAGGATTCAGAGGGGTGTGTAGAGGTGGAGGAGGCAGAGGGGTGTCTGGAGGTGCAGGGGGATGCAGAGCGGTACGTGGAGGTGGAGGTGATGGTGGATGCCACACGGCACACAGCAGGGCCTGTCCCCACGGATATTGCCATTGCTGCTGCCGCTGCTCCTACCGCTGCTACTAGTGCTGCTTGCGCTGCTGCTGGTGCTGCTGCTACTACCACTGCTTCTCCCGCTGCTGCTGCTGCTGCTGCTGCTGCTGCTGCTGCTGCTGCTGCTAATACCACTGCTTCTCCCGCTGCTCCTGGTGCTGCAGCTGCTGGTTCATGTGAAAACGGGCTCAACAAGGGAAGCCGCCCTGCCAAAGCCTCCTCCTCGCTCGCCCCACCCCAGGCTCTTGCTGCTTCGAGGGCACCTGTTGCTCACGGACCACCTGAGCAGCCTCACTCAACCGAGAAGCACCACTTCTTACCTACTGCTGCGCCTCCCACATCTGAACCCTCAGGTGCTTCAGCACCCAGACCTCCTGCGCCAGGTGAAACGGCAGAGGCGCCCTCTGTTGCCCCAGATGCACCCCATCCCACACCAGCATCAGCCCAACCTTCAGGTGCCTCAGGTGCCCCTTCAGGTGCCCCCACCACCACCACCACGCTCCCCTCTCGCCCCTACCCCGGCCCGACCAATGTCGAGCTGACAGCTGTCCCGAAGAACGTAAAAGCCCTGCTCGAATCCGGCCTGCTGGACGGCATCCCATTGGTCTACGACGACGGCCGTAACCGCCTGCGCGGCGTGGTAACCAGCGGAGGGGTCGCCTGCGGGTGCCGCAGCTGCAGAGGCCGGCAGGTAGTCGCGTGCGCGGTCTTCGAGGTGCATGCGGGGAGCGCGGCGAAAAAGGCCGTGAATTATACCTTCCTGGATGTGCCGTGCGCTGCGAATGCGAGGGAGGGCGAGTGTATGTCTGCTGCTGAGGCGGCTAGGCTGAGAGGCCCTTGCCTGAAGGATATTATTCTGATTGCGGGGTATGCTGCCGAGCCTGCTGCTGCTTCGGAGGCTGTCGAGCGGGAGATGAGGCGCGCGTTCGCGGAAGGGGTGGGGGGCGAAGGAGGGGAGGAGGTGTGGAGAGGAGGGACGGAGGGGGAGTGGAGAGGAGGAGCGGGGTCCGGGAGGTTGGTTCGGGTAGAGGCGGTTGGAAGGGGCTCCCCTGCTGCTGGTGCTGCATGGTCACCCGGGGTCATCCCAAGGTCACCGGGAGGAGTAATCTCAAAATCACCTGCTGGAGGGGTGCTTCCCAAGCTGCCTGGGCCGGCTGTGTGGTCCCCTGGCAGTGGCAGCAAGGCGGCAACTGGGGGAGGGGTATCTGGCGGGGCAGGGGTGGCTGGGGGAGGTGCAGCTGGGGGCGGTGGTGTGGGAGAGGGGCTGGTGCACAAGCAGCAGGGCATGCCAGTCAGGAAGAGGTGAGTGTGGTGTAGCTGCTGCTGCTGCTGCTGCTTCTGCTTCTCATCTCATCCTGGCGTTGCTCTTGTCTTGTTTCTGACCAGCCCTTGACTTGGTGCATGGATGTGTGTGTGTGTTCGTGTGTGCTTTAACGCTTGTGGACGTGTGCGTGTGTGTACGTGTGTGTTCGTGTGTGCTTTAACGCTTGTGGACGTGTGCGTGTGTGTACGTGTGTGTTCGTGTGTGCTTTAACGCTTGTGGACGTGTGCGTGTGTGTACGTGTGTGTTCGTGTGTGCTTTAACGCTTGTGGACGTGTGTGTGTGTGTACGTGTGTGTTCGTGTGTGCTTTAACGCTTGTGGACGTGTGTGTGTGTGTACGTGTGTGTTCGTGTGTGCTTTAACGCTTGTGGACGTGTGCGTGTGTGTACGTGTGTGTTCGTGTGTGCTTTAACGCTTGTGGACGTGTGCGTGTGTGTTCGTGTGTGCTTTAACGCTTGTGGACGTGTGCGTGTGTGTACGTGTGTGTTCGTGTGTGCTTTAACGCTTGTGGACGTGTGCGTGTGTGTACGTGTGTGTTCGTGTGTGCTTTAACGCTTGTGGACGTGTGCATGTGTGTACGTGTGTGTTCGTGTGTGCTTTAACGCTTGTGGACGTGTGCATGTGTGTACGTGTGTGTTCGTGTGTGCTTTAACGCTTGTGGACGTGTGCATGTGTGTACGTGTGTGTTCGTGTGTGCTTTAACGCTTGTGGACGTGTGCATGTGTGTGCGTCAGGGAGTCGGGGTCAACACACAAGGCATTGTTCCGACCGGGAGGCATAGACGACGGAACCAGCCTCGGCTACTACATGAAGGGTCAGGTGAGCTTATCCCACCTCTCCTCTCCCCGTCTCCCTTTCTTTTGGCGCCTCAATAGCAGCGGTTATTTGCCATGACTCAATGCTGCGCCTTCCCATCTCTCCTCTCCTCGTATCCCAGTGTCTGCTGCACGGAGTCATGCAGTGCAGTGGCATTTTGAGTTGACTACATAGTTTTGCGCCTCTCCATGTCCTTTCCTCTCCCCGTGTGCCAGTGTCTGCTGCACGGAGTCAAGCACGGCAGCGGCATTCTGAGTTGAGTTGACTACATGATGTTGCGCCTTCCTGTTGCGCCTTCCCATCTCTCCTCTCCTCGTATCCCCCAGTGTCTGCTGCACGGAGTCAAGCACGGCAGCGGCATTCTTTGCAGCTGCTGCAACCAAGTGGTGAGCCGCTCTCCCTCTCCTGAAGCATAAAAGGATAGTTTCGACTCCCTTTCCTCCACCCCTTTCTCCCCGTCGTCCCCATGTCCTCTCCTCTTGGCCCCCAGTGTCTGCTGCACGGAGTGAAGCAGGGCAGCGGCATTCTCTGCAGTTGCTGCAACCAAGTGGTGAGCACTCTTCCTTTCACATTCACCCCCCTCTCTCCGCAACCCTCCGTTCTCCATCTCTTCCCATCGTGCTCTCTCTTCTTCTTTCCCTTGATATCGTTTTTTCATGCGTCAAGAGGTTTCCTCCCCTGCACCGTCCGTTTCCCTCCTTACCCCCTGTTGGTGTGTGGGGCACAGATCAGCAGCTCTCAGTTCGAGGCTCATGCAGGGAAGGGCGGCCATCGCAACCCGTAAGTCCTCTCCCCACATATATTTTCCTGTTCTGTTTTTTGTTTGATTCTCAAAAATGATACCAACCACACATATGTGCTCCTTTTTTGGTTCTTTCTGTTCTTTTTACCAATTTCAAAGGCTCTTCTTCCTTCAAACTCCCTCCACTCCACCTTCCCTTCACCCACTCCCTTCACCCATCCTCCACCTCTCCTCTGCTCACCCACCCACCAGCTACAACCGCATATTCACCGACGACGGCTACAGCTTGCACGAACTCGCAATCAGGCCCTTCAATGACACCAGCTACAATCACATACTCCCTCACTCTCCCTTCACTCTCCCTTCACTCTCCCTTCACTCTCCCTTCACCCTGCTCCCTCCCGTGCCTCTCCTCACCCACCCACAGCTACAATCGCATTTTCACCGACGACGGCCACAGCCTACACGAACTCGCCATCAGGCTCGCAGCCTCCCGGCCCCCCTGCACCCCTGCCTCGTTTGCTGCTCCTGGTACTGGTGCTACCGGTACTTCTTCTGCTGCATCTGCTGGACACAGCACTGCGAGGAAGGGCAGCCTCAAGCGCGGAAGAGAATCCCGAGACTCCCGCGACTCCTGTGAGTCGAGCCCGCGAGTGCATTTCAGCACAGACGGGAACGCGGGCGGGCATGCGGACGAGTGCACCAACTGTGGCGAGGGCGGCACGTTGCTGCTCTGTGAGTCCTGCCCAGGCGCCTACCACCCCGGCTGCGTGGGTCTCCCCTCCATTCCTGATTCGGACTGGTTCTGCCCCACCTGTAAGCCGTCTACGGCTTTTTCAAGGCATTTGGCTCCACTCCCCCCGAGCGTGGGGAAGGGGGAGGGCACGCGGGGGAAGGGGCGCGGCCGGGGCGCCTGGGGGAAGGGGAAGCGGAAGGGGGAGGCGGCTGGAGGGGAGGCGGCGGTTGGGGAGGTGGTGGAGGAGGAAGGGGCAGGAAAGGGTGCGGAGGGGTTGGGGGAGGTGGATGTAGATGTGGAGCGGTGCAGACGGTTGGTGAAGGAGTTGGAAAGCGCAGGGGGAGGGTGCGTGCTGTGCCATTCTGGCTCACACGACTTTGTCCCATCAGGGTTTGGCCCTCGGACGATCATATTCTGTGATCAGTGCGAGAAGGAGTATCACGTGGGGTGTTTGAAGGAGCATGGGGTTCAGGTGCTGGACAGGTTGCCCGAGGGGAACTGGTTCTGCTGTGCGGCGTGTGAAGAGGTGTTCAATGCGGTGCAGATGGTTCTGGAGCGGGGAAGCATGCATTTGCCGGATCTGCCGGATTGGGAGGAGATGGAAGAGGCTCACCTGCTGGAACCGCAGCCAATGCAGCGCGCTTCTGGTGCTGCTGGTGCTGGTGCTGGTGCTGTTGCTGGTGCTGTTGTTGGTGCTGCTGCTTCTCCTTCTGTTGGTGGTGCGGCTGCTGATGATGATGCTGCTTTGCCAGCAGCAGCAGGATTGGGGCAGCAGCAGGGACAGAAGAATACGAGCGCCAGTACTGGTGGCTGCACCAGCCCCGCCCCCCACTGCTCAACTCCGCCGCTGCCTCCGCCTCTGCCTCCTCCTGCCACGCTTCTCAACACGCCTCAGCAGCATAGCACCTCCTCCCAGCTTCGGGCGGCAACCTTTGACCTGACGCCGAATGCGTCGCAGGGCCGAGCGGCACAGGGCAGGGCGCGGGGCGGCGAGCTGACGTGGCAGGTGCTCAAGGGGCGGCGGGGGTTGGAGGCGAACGGGCTGACGCTGGGCGGCGTGTGTCAGCTGTTTGCGGAGTCATTTGATCCGATCAAGGATGCATTCACGGGGAAAGATCTGATTCCCCTCATGGTTCGCAGGTAAGGCTCCATCCCCTCCCATGCCGCTCAAGCTGTCTGTTTCCCTCTCTCATTCCGCTCTCACTCCCCCCTGCTCCGTGTGAAAAGTGAGTTTTTGAGACGTCTCAAAAACTCACTTAATACACGTGGTCTTTCATTCCGCTCTCACTTAATACACGTGGTCTTTCATTCCGCTCTCACTTAATACACGTGGTCTTTCATTCCGCTCTCACTTAATACACGTGGTCTTTCATTCCGCTCTCACTTAATACACGTGGTCTTTCATTCCGCTCTCACTTAATACACGTGGTCTTTCATTCCGCTCTCACTTAATACACGTGGTCTTTCATTCCGCTCTCACTTAATACACGTGGTCTTTCATTCCGCTCTCACTTAATACACGTGGTCTTTCATTCCGCTCTCACTTAATACACGTGGTCTTTCATTCCGCTCTCACTCACCCCCCCGGTCACACCTCTCTCCCCGCTCCGTCAACCCTCCCCTACCCCGCTCTCACCCCATCAGTCGCAGCAGCAGGGAGCACGAGTTTCAGGGCATGCTGTGCTGTGTGTTGAAGCAGCGCGACCGCGTGGTGTGTGCAGCCTGCATCCGCATCTTCGGCCGCCAGCTCGCTGAGATGCCCCTCGTCGCCACCGCCTACTCGCACCGCCGCCGGGTAAGTCCGAGTAAAGAATGCCACCTGGGTGCCCCGGTGTGCTCTGTGGTGGGGACTCCGTGATATGCTGTGCCCCTCATCGCCACCGCCTACTCGCATCGCTGCCAGGTAACAATGCATCCCTGCCCCTTGTTATGATGGGCAACCCCACCCCCCGTGCCTCACGTCTTGATGTGGCACTTGTGATTGTTTCTGTGCTTCGCTGAGATGCCCCTCGTTGCCCCTGCTTGCTATCCCTCTATCATCCCTTTCTCGATCCTCTCTTCTCCTTCCTCACCTCCCTTCTCAATCCTTCCCCCCTTTGTCTCACCCACTAGGGTTTGTGCAAGGTATTGCTGAACGCACTGGACGTGCTCTTTTCCCTGCTCGGAGTGAGCAAGTTCTGCCTGCCAGCAGCGCCGGGAGCGGAGGGCACGTGGATCAAGGGATTCGGCTTCTCTGTTATGAGTACAGAGGAAGTTACTCAGGTGCATCGGGACTTCCCGCTCCTCGTCTTCCCCGGGTCTGTCAGCGTGGTTCGGCGCGTCCCGAGCCTGCCCCGGGCCTACCGCAAGGCTGCCGAGCTTCAGGTGTTTGGTGCGGTTGGGATGGCGCCGCTGCCGCAGCTGGATTCCTTCCCCCTGTTATTGCCACCCTCGATACAAGACAAGGCAGGGGACACAGCACAAGAGGCGTCACAGGGAGGGAAAGAGGGGCCTGGGGGTGAGCGAGGGGAGGAGGCAGCAGGGGTTACTCGCAGGCAGGGAGAAAACGGAGTGGATGCAACAGCTTTGGTATCAGAGCAGGAAGTTACCGCTGATGATAGAGGTCTGCTTGCTGTAGTGACGGCTGTAGCGGTTACAGCTGCAGGGGAGGTGAAGCCTGCTACAGCCAGTTTGGTGGTGATATCTGGGGCCGGGGAAGCAGAGGGGCTCACAGCTGCGGGTAGGCCAAAGGGTGTGGTGGTGACTGCTGGTGCAGGGGATGCTGGGGTGTTGATAGAAGCAGATGGAGGGAGGGAGAGGGAGGGAGAAGGAGCAGCACTAGGAGATGAGGGTATGGGAGAGGAGAGGAGAGAAGGGAGGAGAGAAGCTGAGGGGATTGAAGAGAGAAGAGGAGAGGAGGGAAGAGAAGATGAAGAGTGTGAGATTGAGGTAGTGGAGGATGGAGAGGGAGGGGAGGGAGGGGAGGCAAAAGAGAGGAGTGAGGGAGAGATAGAGAAGGCGGAAGGAGTAAGCAAGCCTTTAATTGATGAGGAGAGGGCGCGGCAGGTGTGTGTGGCTTGTGTGCCTTGGGAGGAAGTGACAGCAGCAGAGGAGGACGAGGAGGAGAAGGAAGAAGAGGAGGAAGAGGAAGAGGATGAGGATGAGGATGAAGATGAGGATGAGGATGAGGAGGAGAAAGATGATGAGGAAGAGGAGGAGGTGGTGATAGGGAAAAGTCAAAGGCGTGGTGGGGGTGGGGGTGGGAAGCGTGTGAGGGAGAGAAATGGTACGGTGGGGAGTCAGCAGCAGGTGCCTCCTCTGTTCATAGTGGCGGTTGAAGAGAAGAGCTATGACCCCTCCGTGTGGGATGTGGGGAGGAGCGAGGAGGAGGAACCGAGAGTTAGTGGTGAGGAGAAGGGAACGAGAGTGGGTGATGAGGAGGAGGAAAAGAGGGTGAGTGATGAGAATGGAATTAGGGAGAGTGACAAGGAGGAGGAAAAGAGGGTGAGTGGAGAGGAGGGAGGTAGGGGGAGTGATGGAGAGGAGCAGAAGGGGATATGTGACCTGGAAGGGCAAGAGGAAGAGAGGAGGAGAAAGAGGAGACACGTGTCATTTGCAAGTGACTCGCTGGGACCTGATGCGAGTGGTGCTGATGTGGATGCTGCTGATGTGGACAGTGCTGACATGGCAGGTGCTGACGTGGCAGGTGCTGACACGGGAGGTGCTGGCATGGATGGTGTCGACAAGGGAGGGAAGAAAGACGCAGTGACCCTTGATCCTTCCATCTCTCCTTCCACCTCTGCTGCACGCACACGCCCTCACCACCCTACAACCGACCCCACTCACTCCCACCACTCACCACCCCATTCGCAACATACCCATTCAACCACCCATCCTTCACTCACTACAAGCACTGCAAGCATCCCAGTCCCTGCAGTCACTGCCAGCACTCCTCCCATTGAAACGCCTGTCAGTGTCAGTGACACTCCTCCCATTGAAACGCCTGTCAGTGTGACTGACATTCCTCTGATTGAAGTGCTGCAACCGAGGGCGCGTGAGTATGGCGATTACCGCGCCTCCCAGGGCTGGGACCGACACACTCTCCCCGTCTGCCTCGCCCTGCCTGCCCCTCCCCCTCCCCCTGCCGCTGCTGCTTTCCCTGCTGCTGCTGCCAGTGCTGCTGCCGCTGCTGCTGCTGCTGCCACTGCTGCTGCTGTTGTTGGTGCTGTAGCCGGTGCTGGTGCTGCTGGTGATGATGGTAGGGTGAGCATTCAGTATGTGAGGAAGCGCAAGGGAATGGAGAGTGCTGCTGCTGCTGGTGCTTCTGGGGGTGCTGCTGCTGCTACTGCTACTGCTGCTTCTGGTGGTGCTGCTGCTGCTACTAGTGCTGCCGCTGCTGCTACTGCTGGTGCGGCTGCTGTTGCTACTGCTGGTTCTGTTGCAGTTGCTTCTGTTGCTGCTGCTGTTGTCGCTGCTACTGCTGCTGTTGTTGCTACTACTGCTGGTGCTGGTGCTGTGGTATCCACAAACGAGCAGGCAGGGGAGGAACGAGAAGCGAAGCGAGCGAGGTGGGGCGATAATTCTCACGAGCAGACCAGAGGCCAGCAGCAGGAAGTGCAGGGGGGCCAGGAGAAGCAGAAGCAGCAGGAGGATAAGGGGGAAAAGGAGGAGCGATTGGGGTTGAACGAAGAGCAGTTGGGGACGAAGGGGGAGCAGTTGGAGGAAAAGGGGGAGAAATTGGGCAAAAAGGGGGAGCAATCGGAGAAGAAGGATGAGAAATTGAGGGGATTGGGGGAGCATTTGGAGGAGAAGGGGGAGCAATACGGGGAGGATTGGGGGAAGCTTCAGGGCGCCCAGGTGAAGCATGTTGACCTGGTCAAGCGACAGGGAATGCCCGTTCATGGCAGGGTCATTCCCGTTATGGCAGGCAAAAAAGGAGGACCGTTTGTGCTTTCTATCAAGCGAAAGAGACAAGAAGGGCGGAGGCATAAAAGAGAAAGGGGCTGGGGTGCGGTGCTTGGGATCGGGAGGGATCGGGAGGAGGAGAGGAAGGAAAATCGCTTAGAAGGTAATTTTCCGGAGGATAAGCACTTGGGGGGTAAGAAACGATTCGTTGTTAAAAATCGATTTGTTGTTAAACACACCGAAGAGGGATTGGAAGGTGAAGAGGAGGACGGTTTTGAGGCGGAGATTCTGAGAGCAGTGGAAGATGATGACGATGGGGTGAACACGCGGGAGGGGGGTGGCGAGAAGAGGGAGGATAGGGGGGACAGGGAGGAGAGTGAGGAGAGTGAGGAGATTGGGGGGGGTAGAGCAAAGAGGAGGCGGATTGAGAGCAAAAGTTGGGTGGGGAGAAGGAGGGTGAGGGAGAGTGGGGCAAGGAGGAGGGGGCGACGGAGGGTAGTGGAGGAAAAGGAGGAGGAGGCGGAGGAGGAGGAGGAGAAGGAGGAGGATGAGCAGGAGGAGGATGAGAAGGAGGAGGAGAAGGTGGAGGAGAAGGTGGAGGATGAAGAGGAGGCTGAGGAAGATGAGGAGGATGCAGATGAGAAAGAGGAGGTGGAGGGTGGGGATGGGGATGAGGAAGAGGAGGTGGAGGAAGAGTTTGAGGAGCTTTTTGAGATCGATGGGGAGGACAGAGGATGGGGCATGGCTGATGGAGGAAGGCGAGGGAAGAGAGAAGCTTTTGAGAATTCTCAAAAACCAGCTGGTGATATTGCTGGGGAGGAGGATAGAGGATGGGGCATGTCTGGTGGAGGAAGGCGAGGGAAGAGAGCAGCAAGGGCGAGACGAGACGGTGGCAGGCGCGATGATGGTGTGGGGAGGAGCAGGATGGAAGCTGAAGAGGTGGAGGAGGGGCGTGGAGAGGAGGAGGGGAGTGGTGATGAGGAGGGGAGTGGAGAGGACGGGAGTGGAGAGGAGGGGAGTGAAGAGGGGGAGTGGGGTGGGAAGGAGGAAGTAAGTAGCATGAGTGGGGAGGGACGGCGAGGGGAGAGGAAGCAGACCGGGTTGGATCTTCTAATGAGGCGAGCAAGTGAGAAGGATGAGAAGGACGGAGAGAAAGGGGTGGAGGAGGGTGGGAAAGGTTTGATAATGGATATTGCAGTGGAAGGGGTGATGGACGGTGTAGTGCGGTTGAGAAGCACAGAGGAGGTGACCAACGCCGCAGTGCGGTGTGGGGAGCGGGCGGGCGGGGGTGCTCGTCGTGCGAGGAGAGGGAGAGGGCGGCACAAGGAGAGAGAGGTTTGTGGCGACGGGGACTGGAATGGTGGGGACGAGAGTGGGTTTGTGGGGGACAAGGCAAAATGGGGGAAATTAGAGGCGAAAGAATCAGGAGGAGGATTGAAAGAGGAGGAAGAGGAGGACGAAGAAGGGGAAAAGGAGGAAGAGGAGGAAGAGGAGGAAGAGGAGGAGGAGGAGGAGGAGGAGGAGGAGGAGGAGGAGGAGGAGGAGGAGGAGGAGGAGGAGGAGGAGGAGGAGGAGGAAGAAGAAGAGGAGGATGAGGAGGAAGAAGAGGAGGATGTATATGAGCCTGATGATCGAATTGCTGCTGGGTCAGGGAGGGGGAGAGGGAGAGGGAGGGGCAGGGGAAGGGGGAGGGGTAGGGGGAGGGGCCGGGGCCGGGGCAGAGGTAGAGGCCGAGGCAGAGGGAGGGGCAGGGGCAGAGGAAGGGGTATGACAAGCGCGAGAAGGGAGAGAAGAGAGAGTGAACAGGAGGGAGTGGATGGTGACTCAATTGATGAAGCAAGCGGTGGCGAAGGAGAGGAGGAGGGGAGTGAGTCTGGGGAGGAAGAAGCAGAGGGGGAAGAGGACTGCTATTCGCCTGAGGGGAGAAGTACCATCCGGTTGGGGAGGGGGAGAGGCAGGGGGCGGGGGAGGGGGAGAGGTCGGGGCAGAGGCAGGGGCAGGGGCAGAGGAAGGGGAGGGGTGCTGAAAGGTACTGATGGTGCTTATAATGATGGTGCTTATACTGATGATGCTCTTGGCCGGCCTGTGGAAGATGCTTCAGGGCTTGGGAAGGGTGAAGGGCAGGAGAGTGGGGAGAGAGGGGGTGATGGGGAGGAGAGTGGGGAGAGAGGCGGTGATGGGGAGGGAGATGATGGATCGGGGAGTGAGAGTGAGGGCAGTGAAAGTGATGAGGGTGATGGTAAAGGGGGAGAAGCAGGGGTAGGGAGAGGAGGAGCAGTGGGGGGGATAGGAGGAGCAGTGGGGGGGATAGGAGGAGCAGTTGATGGGTTGGAGAAAGGGAGGGAGAGAGGCCAGGGGGTACGGAATGGTAGCGGGCTAGGGAGAGGGCGAGGCAGGGGGGTGGCTGTAGGGGGGGTGACTGTGGGAAGAGGGTATAGGCAGCAGGTTATGTTCGCCGGGCAGAACGGCAAGTTGGAGCTAAGAACAAAGCCGGATTGACTCCTTTAAAATGTATTTCCTCGCAGTTCTTTCGTACCATTTGGAGCTGACATACAGTAGTGTAAGCAATGGCACCAATAAGTGATGAAATAATTAACATGTGGCCAACATGAATCCTCCACACCTCAGCACCCCTGCAATTCCACCCCTTCCTTCTAGAGCTAGGGCCACTGTCCATTGCCAACGAGTCTGGACTGAATGGTGAACATGATCAACCCTGCCTTCTTACTGCCTCAGAATCAGAACAACTGTCCTGAAGGCGGTCAGTAAAGATCCCACCCAAGGGACGTACGGTAATATATATGGCTACTGAAAACAGGTTATCTCAGAAGTGGCTAGCTAACATAAGTGTATCAAAAGTGTCTATCAGAAGCGGCTGTGGCTGTCGTGAGAGTTGCTGTCGGCCATTTGGCGGAGGTCCCAAGACGATGCACTCGGCACGCGGTAGCGCCGCAAAATCTGCGCATTCGACTGGAGGCGTGCGCATGTGCGTGTGTATGTGTGTTCGGGTGCAGATGCGAGCATTAATGTCGGGGGGTAATGAAAAAGGAATTAATGTTTAGCTGCAGAGGAATCATCAGGCAGGCTCGGAAAAGCTGGGCTGACAAGCCTGAGGCTCGGATCTTTTCAACCCAGTGCGATCCAAACCAAGCCTCTCACCTTACTTTTGAGTCGACTCAAAGTCACCTCGCTGGGCTGAAAAGCCTGAGGCTCGCATCTCTTGAACCCAGTGCAATCCGACCCAAACCGCTCACCTTCCTGGCAGCTGCCATGTCAATGGCTATGATCCGCCCGTCCTCCAGATCGAACCGAACGAACGGCCCAGATGTCTCGAACACGGCGTCTTTGAGTTGGCGAATATTGTCCACCTCCATCCCATTCACCTTCAGCACCTGGGGATGCGGGGGAGGAGAGGGAGGGAGGGGGGGTGCAGGAGAGGAGAGGGAGGGTGGGGTTTTAGGCGAGGGAGAGGGTACAGGGGCGGAGAGGGAAGGAGTGCATGAGAAGAGAGAAGGGAGAATGAGAGGAGGGGAGAATGAGAGGAGGGGAGAATGAGAGGAGGGGAGAATGAGAGGAGGGGAGAATGAGAGGAGGGGAGAATGAGAGGAGGGGAGAATGAGAGGAGGGAGAATGAGAGGAGGGGAGAATGAGAGGAGGGGAGAATGAGAGGAGGGGAGAATGAGAGGAGGGGAGAATGAGAGGAGGGGAGAATGAGAGGAGGGAGAATGAGAGGAGGGGAGAATGAGAGGAGGGGAGAATGAGAGGAGGGGAGAATGAGAGGAGGGGAGAATGAGAGGAGGGGAGAATGAGAGGAGGGGAGAATGAGAGGAGGGGAGAATGAGAGGAGGGGAGAATGAGAGGAGGGGAGAATGAGAGGAGGGGAGAATGAGAGGAGGGGAGAATGAGAGGAGGGGAGAATGAGAGGAGGGGAGAATGAGAGGAGGGGAGAATGAGAGGAGGGGAGAATGAGAGGAGGGGAGAATGAGAGGAGGGGAGAATGAGAGGAGGGGAGAATGAGAGGAGGGGAGAATGAGAGGAGGGGAGAATGAGAGGAGGGGAGAATGAGAGGAGGGGAGAATGAGAGGAGGGGAGAATGAGAGGAGGGGAGAATGAGAGGAGGGGAGAATGAGAGGAGGGGAGAATGAGAGGAGGGGAGAATGAGAGGAGGGGAGAATGAGAGGAGGGGAGAATGAGAGGAGGGGAGAATGAGAGGAGGGGAGAATGAGAGGAGGGGAGAATGAGAGGAGGGGAGAATGAGAGGAGGGGAGAATGAGAGGAGGGGAGAATGAGAGGAGGGGAGAATGAGAGGAGGGGAGAATGAGAGGAGGGGAGAATGAGAGGAGGGGAGAATGAGAGGAGGGGAGAATGAGAGGAGGGGAGAATGAGAGGAGGGGAGAATGAGAGGAGGGGAGAATGAGAGGAGGGGAGAATGAGAGGAGGGGAGAATGAGAGGAGGGGAGAATGAGAGGAGGGAGAATGAGAGGAGGGGAGAATGAGAGGAGGGGAGAATGAGAGGAGGGGAGAATGAGAGGAGGGGAGAATGAGAGGAGGGGAGAATGAGAGGAGGGGAGAATGAGAGGAGGGGAGAATGAGAGGAGGGGAGAATGAGAGGAGGGGAGAATGAGAGGAGGGGAGAATGAGAGGAGGGGAGAATGAGAGGAGGGGAGAATGAGAGGAGGGGAGAATGAGAGGAGGGGAGAATGAGAGGAGGGGAGAATGAGAGGAGGGGAGAATGAGAGGAGGGGAGAATGAGAGGAGGGGAGAATGAGAGGAGGGGAGAATGAGAGGAGGGGAGAATGAGAGGAGGGGAGAATGAGAGGAGGGGAGAATGAGAGGAGGGGAGAATGAGAGGAGGGGAGAATGAGAGGAGGGGAGAATGAGAGGAGGGGAGAATGAGAGGAGGGGAGAATGAGAGGAGGGGAGAATGAGAGGAGGGGAGAATGAGAGGAGGGGAGAATGAGAGGAGGGGAGAATGAGAGGAGGGGAGAATGAGAGGAGGGGAGAATGAGAGGAGGGGAGAATGAGAGGAGGGGAGAATGAGAGGAGGGGAGAATGAGAGGAGGGGAGAATGAGAGGAGGGGAGAATGAGAGGAGGGGAGAATGAGAGGAGGGGAGAATGAGAGGAGGGGAGAATGAGAGGAGGGGAGAATGAGAGGAGGGGAGAATGAGAGGAGGGGAGAATGAGAGGAGGGGAGAATGAGAGGAGGGGAGAATGAGAGGAAGGGAGAATGAGAGGAGGGGAGAATGAGAGGAGGGGAGAATGAGAGGAGGGGAGAATGAGAGGAGGGGAGAATGAGAGGAGGGGAGAATGAGAGGAGGGGAGAATGAGAGGAGGGGAGAATGAGAGGAGGGGAGAATGAGAGGAAGGGGAGAATGAGAGGAGGGGAGAATGAGAGGAAGGGAGAATGAGAGGAGGGGAGAATGAGAGGAGGGGAGAATGAGAGGAGGGGAGAATGAGAGGAGGGGAGAATGAGAGGAGGGGAGAATGAGAGGAGGGGAGAATGAGAGGAGGGGAGAATGAGAGGATGAGGGAACGGGGGAGAAGGGGATGGGCACCTGAGAGCAGACGGGCTTCACCTCACCTGCAGGCCTGCTACCCGGGGAAGGTAGCACCTCGTGCTACCCGGGGAAGGTAGCACCTCGTGCCACACGTGTGGAAAAAGACAACTTTTGAGACAGTCTAAAAAACCCTCACCTGCAGGTCTGCTAGTCGCTCGTAGCCACCGATGACCTCGTCAGGGAGCACCTGGTGGCACACATAGCCACACATGCTCATTTTGGGACGTCTACAAAACCCTCACCTGCAGGTCTGCCAGCCGCTCATAGCCACCGTTGACCTCGTCAGGGAGCACCTGGTGGCACGCATGTGTGCTAGCCTCTAAGACTAATTTTGGGACGTCTAAAGAAATCTCACCTGCAGGTCTGCCAGTCGCTCGTAGCCACCGTTGACCTCGTCAGGGAGCACCTGGTGGCACATGTGCGTGGGGGGGTGGGGAGGGGCAGACGTGGAGGTAGGTGAGGAGGAGAAGAGGAGATGTGTGACAAGGCTGGTTTTCATGCCGCTCTCCCAGCCCTACCTTGTCAACAAGCCCACACCGTCGGCCATGATCAGATACACACATGAATGGCGGCCTATACAGACATGGATGTATCTGATCATGGAAGGATCAATGGAAGGCCCAGGTTCTAGTGTGTTGAGCCTGCTGTGGTAGCATGGATTTTGGAACCTCCGAAAACTCACCCGCGAGAGGATGATGATTTGCTGCCCGGGTTTCTCGGGCAGGTTGCGGAGGGCGAGGTCGCAGAGGCGGCGGGGGGAGGAGTGGAGCCAGTCGGGGCCGTACTCGTGCAGGTAGGGCTGGGAGAGCGGCATGAAGACGAGCCCTGCGAATATGAAGTAGCTGGGCGCGCTGTCCCACTGCTGCGCTGCCACCAACGGGGGGAGCTGCGGGGAGAGGAGGGGCGAGGGGGGAGAGAGGTTGGAGGTGGGTGGGAGGGAAAGAGGAGGGGAGGAGAGAATGGGAAGAAAGAGGCGGAGAAAGCATGTGGTAGTTTAGTGGCTGGAGGCTGTGTCAGATGTAACGCATGCATATCACACGTCATGCCAGAAACCGTTGCATGCTAACCCAGCGAATACCGGGTTGACGGTCATGTCGAAGTGCATGAGCTGCCCTCCTCGGTACACGGACACCATGGCCCTCTCCCCACTGCCCTTGAGCGACACCAGGTAGTCAAACGGCAGTCGCTCCCTCTTGCGGAACAACACTGGTATGGGCAGGGGGACACAAAGAAGGGGTTTTAGAATAACGGTGACTTGAGTCGACTGATAGATAACTCACTCACTCTAGCTCTCTCTCCCCTTGAGCGACACCAGGTAGTCAAACGGTAGGCGCTCCCTCTTGCGGAACAACACTACTATGGGCAGGGGGACACAAAGAAGGGGGTTTAGGATAACGGTGACTTGAGTCGACTGATAGATAAGTCACTCACTCTAGCTCTCTCTCCCCACCGCCCTTGAGCGACACCAGGTAGTCAACCGGCAGCCGCTCCCTCTTGCGGAACAGCACTGGCACGGGCAGGGGGCGGAGAGGAGGGAGATGAGGGGCGGGGAAGAAGGTGAGTGTAAGGGAAGTAGATAATCAGATCAGATGCCCTGGCTGTAGCAGCCCTGCTCAAACCCATCAATCCCCTCCTCTCCACCACTCACCAGACCCATCATCCGCTATAGGAACGCAGTCAAACGCGGTCAACACGTCGTCCTTCTTGATCCACCGGCTGCTCTCACTCAGCGGCTGCACCGCGTTCACCAGCACGCCTGTAGCAGTCGGCGGCAGGCGCAGGTGCGCGCGCAGCTGCCAGTTGTCAAGCGGCTGGCATGCCACGCCCAGGGAGGAGAAGCCGTGGAAGCGGCGGTGGTGCAGCGCTGCATCGTGTAAGAAGCGGTGGATGATGGGCGTGGGTACTATGTAGCTGCGAGGGGGGGGAGGGGAGAGAGAGGCCATGGAGAGGCATGGAGGGGAGGCATGAGCAAGACTGGGCGGCGGAGCATGGGCACGATGTATATGCCTCCCCATGAAAAGGGGGCTTACACCACCAGTGGCTGTTCGGATGGGGACTCTGTTGGGGGGCGAAGGGGGAAACGCGGGAGAGTGTGCTGCACTATGCTGCACTCACCCAATGTTTTCAGCCCCAGTGAGGTTCTGAAACGCCACCCCCACCACCCCCACCTCATCGCCTTTTAAGGCACCTCAAAACTCACCCCATTTCTTTCACAATAAGGGGGGGGTTGCTCACACCCACTATGCTGTGCTCACCCGATGTTTTCAGCCCCAGTGAGGTTCTGGAAAGCCACCCCCACTACGCGGTACTCTACTCTCATCGCCACCGGTGCCGCCCTCGCCGCCGCCTCCTCTGCCGCCCGCTCCGCTTCTATCTCCGCCCAACCCCCTCCCACCCCCACCTCCTCCTCCCCCTCCTCCCCCTCCCACTCCTCCCGCCCATCTTCCCCCCCTAGCCCCAGCATCCCGTCCCCGCCCTCGTCCCCCCAGCCCAGCCCCTTTATGCTGGGTGAATCGCTCTCCTCCTCCAACCCTGATCGCCGCTGCATCCCCCCTGCCCTACCAGCAGACTCTCCCTGCAGTTGAGAATCCATGCGGTGTGAATTCATCAAATCCCTTCCATTCCCGCTGCCACCGCTTCTGCTTGTCTCTCTACCACCACCACCACTACTGCTGCTGCTGCTGCCGTACGCGCCAGCAGCAGCATCAGCAGCAGCACTGCTGGTGGTGCTATCTCCTGCCACGACGGGCACGTGGGTCATGACGAGGGCGGGTCCCCCGCTGTTGCCGGGGTTGATTGCCGCATCGATCTGGATGGCCAGCAGGTGCGCCCCGCTGTGCGCGTACTTGGTGGGCTCCACGCGTGAGACGACTCCCATGCTGATGCTGATGTTGTCGCCGCCTGACAGGGTTGGTGGGTGGGAACCAGTGGGGATTAGGATGGGACGGGAGAGGTGAGTTGAGTGGGGTGTCGATCTGTAAGGCCAGCAGGTGCGCCCCGCTGTGTGCGTACTTGGTGGCTCGACGCGTGAGACTACCCCCATGCTTATGCTGATGTTGTCTCCTCCTGGGGGGTTGGTGGGTGGGTGGGAAGGGGGAGGTGAGGGAAGGGAGCAGTGAGGTGAGCACAGTGGATATCTGGATGACCAGCAGGTGCGCTCCGCTGTGCGCGTACTTGGTGGGCTTGACCCGAGACACCACTCCCATGCTGATGCTGATGTTGTCTCCTCCTGGTAGGGTTGGGGGGGAGAGGGGTGTACGGCAAGTAGGTGCATGTCACGTAGCTGCATGGCATGTAGAGGAGGGCGTGGATGAATAGACGCATGAAGAGTTGGGATAAAGGGACTGCTCCGCTTTCATCTGACTATACCCTCTCCATCTCACCTTGAGGGTACCCCACCACAGCTACCGACTCCTGCAGCTGAGGCACATCCCCCAGAGGCAGCGGGTTCAGCCCCGCCCAGAACTCCTCATTCCCCCCCGCTCCCCCCACTCCTCTCCCCGCCTCCCCCCTCCCCCCCATCCCCATCCCCATATCCCCCCCCATCCCCTTCCCCCCGCCCATTCGGCTCCCCAGCCCGCCCCCGCCCCCCCTCCCCATCCCCCCGCCCCCGAAATCCCCCATGGCGCCCCCGCCCCGTCCCCCTGCTCCCCCGCCGCCCTTATCCTCCCCAAATCTGTCATGGTGGTGGTGGTGGTCGTGATCGTGCTCATGCTCGTGGTGCCCTCCCCTTCCCCCCATTCCTCCGCCCATGCCCCCTCCCCCCGCGCCTGGCTCCCCCACTGTCAGCAGCGCCAGGTCGCACTCGTGCGCCACTGCTTGCACCTGGTGGGGGGGAGAGGGGGAAGGGGAGGGGGGGGGGAGAGTGCGGGGGCAGGAGGGGGTCAAAGGGAGAGGAGGGGGATGCACCAGGTCGCACTCATGCACCACTGCTAGCACCTGGTGTGGTGGGGGAGATGGAGGGGGTTGGGGAGGGTTGGGGGGATTTGGGGGCAGGGGGCGGGGTCAAAGGGTGGGGGAGAGGGAGCTCCAGGCGCAGGAGAATCTGGAGCTCCAGGCGCGGGAGAATCTGGAGCTCCAGGCGCGGGAGAATCTGGAGCTCCAGGCGCGGGAGAATCTGGAGCTCCAGGCGCGGGAGAATCTGGAGGGATGCGCCAGGTCGCACTCATGCACCACTGCTAGCACTTGGTGGGGGGAGGGGATGCTGAGGGTCAGGACAGGGGAACGTGAAGGGAGGGAAAAGGTGGCTGGGTCAGGTTGGGGAATGAAGACAGGGGTAGGTGGCTGGGTCAAGGAGGGAATAAAGGGAGGAAGAAAGGGGACTGATGCTCCCGCACCCCAACCCACCTCCGTCATACACGCTGTCCCCTGAGCAAGGTGCTTTTTGGGCGAGCCGTGTTTCCTCACAAGCACGAACGGCTCGTGGTGGTACCTCTCAACCGCAACCCACCCTTCTCAATTCCCCTCAGGGCCCCTCCCGCACACACACACACCCACACCGCCTACACACACCTGGGCGAGGTACTTTTAGCGCGAGCCGTGCTTCCTCACGAGCACGACTCCTGATGGGAGTACCCCTCAACCCCAACCCACCGTTCTCAATCCCCCTCAGGGCCCCTCCCGCACACACCTCCCACACACACACCTCCTGCATGGTCTCACCTGCGCGAGGTACTTCTTGGGCGAGCCGTGCTTCCTCACGAGCACGAACGCCTGGTCGGCCACGATGTGCGCGCTGGTGAGGATCCGACGGCCCATAATCACGAACCCTGCTCGCCCGCACCACCGCAGGCCCAGGGCGTGGGGGGGGGATAGGGGCGTTTTGTGGGGGAGGGAGGGGAGCGGGACAGGGCGAACACAGAGTTCACGATGTGCGCGCTGGTGAGGATCCGACGGCCCATAATCACGAACCCTGCTCGCCCACACCACCGCAAGGGGACAGCGGGGGTGGGCGGGCGGAGGGAGAGTGAGACTGCGAGCCAGTGCCTTGCGGGCTTGCACACGGGAAGGGAGGGTGCAGACGGAAGTGGAAGGTTGCGTCAGAGAGCAGGAAACAGCGAGCGGCGGAGATACGGTGAGCGGGACACTTAGGGGTGTTTGCAAGAGTCTAATCAGATCCGGATTCACCTGAGCCGGTGACCTCGCGCTGCGGTTTGTTCTGCCAGGGCAGGCGGTAGTTGGGGCTGCTCCCCACGGCGAACAACTTCACCACCGAATCCAGCACCGCCTCCTGATCGTCCTCCGGTAAATGGTCGTCCTCCGCTGGTGCAGCCTCCGCGCCTTCCGCCTCCGCGCCTTCCCCCGCGCCCGCGCCCGCGCGGAGGTCGTCCCGCGGACCCGGCGGCATGAGCGCCTGCGCGGACGGGCCCTCCCGGCCCAAGCCCATGCCCGGACCCAGGTCGCTGAGCCCTGTGTCGCCTCTCTCCCCACCGTCCCGGTCCGTGCTCAGACCTCGCCTTAAGAGCCACGCCGAGAGGGAGTTAAAGCCCAGACCTGCGACAGCTATGGAGGACGCCGAGCCTGAAGCTCTGTCTCCGGGCCAAGAGGCTCGGGGAGGACGGGTGGCCGCGGAACGGTAGTGGGGAGATTGCGGTGGGAGGGGGGAAAAGGCTGGGTGAACCTGTGAACGGTCATGGATAGTGCTTCGTAGGCCATCGGGTATGGGGTTTGCGGGTGCAATCGGGTACGAGTTCGTGACAACGGCTCGGTGCTGTGTGGTTCTGTGGGGTATTGATGATGAGTTTGGTGGCGTGCTTTGGGTGTGCGGACGCGTTGATGCTTTCGAACCGCCATTGGCTGAGGAGGAATAAGCGGCGGCTAATGCGGGGAGGTTGACAGTCCTGAGGACGGCCCATGACAGCTGGCAGGCGAAAGATGGCAGATGGCGACACGTCAGGTGGGATATGATTGGTGATGGATTAACCACCGCCATTGCTGGAAATTCATTCGAAAGGAATTACTCTCTTGTCCTTAACAAGCTTTGAACAGTCACACTATCGTATGCTACGAAGTCTCAAAATACGGGGACACGCCTAGGGCGCCAATCGGGTGGTTCCTACCAGATTGCATCTCGCAACCTCGGAATTGGAACAGTCGATGGTCAGTCTCGTCTGAAATTTATGTACAGCGGACAGCCTCCCTGGTCCAGAAAAATGCGGAGCCGGGAAGACCGGAAATCCATGGAGCGAGTTTTGCAGGCAATGCAGACCAATGCGGTGAGGTCAGTACAAGTCTCGGCTGATGCTACACCAGACTTTCTTCGAAATTCTCCTGCCCAAAGAATCCACCACGCAAAGTTGCGGTCTTGTTCGGTTTGTTACGTTTCAAAACGTATTACTCGCTAGAACCGTGATTGAAGTGCGGTTGCTCCTCTTGCTTAGAAGGAAAGGAGGTGGGCTCGTTACAAGGAATGGCGAGTTGACTGACAGCCAAGCCACGTCGATCAGAGCGTACAATGATTGGAGAGCCCGCGCGATATTATCATAGATGCAGCACACCCGCTCACGCAATCCAAGCAGAGGAAAACACGTGCCAAGTCAAACCTGGCTTGAGCTTATGTGGCAAGGAGGAAATCTGGGGCCAATGGAGCATCCTTGACTTCCTGTAAAAGCGGGTGCACTACAGTGCACTATATAGGTAGTTGAGGCTTGTGCTGCAGTAATGCTCCTGCTGAATCGAGTGTCTCTTTCGGTCTTGCATAAATCATCCAAGGTTAACTTCCCAAATAAAGCTTCTCACCTCTAAGTGAACATGCTGGCTGAGTTGAGACCCACCCAGGTTTATTTCAAAAAGGAAGGCCCACAACAGCCAGTCATGGGACAAATTATATTTAATTAACTGGAGGAAGAAGTTATCCACTGCGCAACGTTGCTTGCTTGCATATATTGTCAAGTCCTTCACCGTGGACAAGGAGATGAGACTACTAACCAAAGAGCAGAAGCTGCTCCAGTCGAATGCCAAGAGTGTTCGCCACCTGCACGCCCCATGCAAAACGCACCCAAAGCCCACGAACACGACCATTAGGCACAACAACACCACTCACATGAGCACCAGAGCAATGCATAAAAAGCAAACCGGAAAAAAAATCCCCTCCATCTCCTCCCTCCTCTCCCCCAGCCACTCCATAACCTCCCTGGATTCCTCCCTTAGCCACCTCCCTGAATCCCCTTCCATCTGCTCCTTCCCTCCTCTTAAATCGTCATACCTGCTTCACCAGTTCCTTTCTCGCACTGCACTTGAAGCGTGTTGTGCTAGCCAGCCTGTCTTCCCCTGACTGGCTCACCAGCCCACCGCGAACAAGAGTCGCAAGCTGAGTCAGCAAGCTGTCATCCACAGCAGGAGCTGACTCAGCAGCACCACCACTAGAAACCGAGGCGAGAGGAGAGGACCAGTGAGCTTTCACCAAGTGGTGAGCCATGAGCAGCCAGCGCGAAAGAGGGAAGGGAATGGGGCCGTGCTGCTGAGCCTCCCTGGCCTCTCTAGCCTGCTTGTCCAGGTCCCCTGCACTTGCCTTCCTCTTCCTCCTGGACCGAAACCCGCTTCCACCGGGCTGTGCGGAGTCCGAGAAGTTAAAAAGGGTTACATCTGACGGTGCTGGGTTGCGGGAGCAGGTAAATGCTGCGACAAGGGCGAATCTTGTCATGATGGGAAGATCTGGAACGTCCATTGGAGCTCCAGCAGTAGCAGCAACAGCAGGAGTATCCACGACTGACGAGCGTACGAGGGTTGAGACGGGCTGCTTGAGTGTGGTTCCTATGTGCTCCTGTGCTCTCATATACAGCAGGCGAGCACAGCTGGGGTGGTCGGGGGACACAGAGCCTGTGGCAATGGGAGCGGTGTAGAGCGGCCAGGAGTGGTCCACGAGCGAGGCGAGGTGCGGCAGGGAGCGGCAGGCACGGGTATACACTGGAACCACCTGCCTGCAGTGGGGAACGCAGGGTCGGGAAGGTTCATAAATGGCAACTGAGATTGAAAAACTGGTGGACGGGAAAGGATATGTTACAGGAGGTTAACGGACAGGGCAGGGGGAGAAGGGGAGGGTCCAGGTGGAAGGTATGTGAGAGCAGATGGACGGGTGGGAACGAGTGTGGGTGGAGTACCTGAGGAAGGAGAGGAAGAGCGGCTGATTCGGCCTCATGCCCACGAGAACCGTTTCCAGTTCCTTGTCGCTGTACGGTGGGAAGAACACCGTCACCGGCTCACATGCTGCCACTGCCATAGCCGCTGCTGTTGCTGCCCCTCCTCCTCCTCCCCATCCGCCTCCCCAGCCTCCGCCCCAGCTGCCCCCACCCCCCATCCCTGCAGCGCCAAGCCCACAAGTTGACGCCCAGTCCAGCTTGCTCACTAGGATTAGCCCTAAGTTGGACTGCCCCAACAGTTCGGGCAGGCGGAGGAACGTTTCCAGCAGCTGCGGGCCTTCCCCTGCAGGGAAGGCTTTGAGCTGCTCCAGGTTGTCTATAACGAGGTACACTGTAGCATCAATACAGGGCTTCACCAGGCAGGCTTGCGGTTCCTTATCGGCTGCTGCACGAGGGCTGCACTGCGGGCCCGTAGAAGCGGCCCCATTCTCACAGGCAGCCTGCCTCCTTCCGTCATCCGCCACTTTGGTGCCCTCTGCACCTGCGAATGCGGCAGCCAAGGAGCGCCTCGCACTTGGGTGGGTGGGGCCTCCTCCTCCTTCTCCTGGTCCTCCTAGACCCTTGTGCTTCTCTCTGCTGCCGGGCCTTTGCTCCTGCACCAGTACGTCCTGCACCATCTGCTGCTCCATCTGCTCCTCCTCCTCCTGCTGCTTTACCAGCTGAATCCTTACCGCAACAGGACCCACCTCAATCACATCGTCATCCTCTTCGTACCCCTCGCCCCCCTCCTCATCCCCCTCCTTCTGCCCCTCTATCTCTTCTCCTCTCTCCTCCCCCTCCACCTCGAATCCCGCCTCCTGTCCTTCTTCCTCCTCACCGTCCTCACTCCTCACTTCCCCCTCCTCCATCTCATCCGCGGGTCCCACACCCCCAGCCTGCCCACCGCCGTTCATCACGAACCACAGCCCGCTCGCTCCCGCCCTCTCCCGCTCTCCGCTCGCATCATCCGCCTCTGCCTGCGTGTGCACCGTGGGCCGTTTCGCATGGCGGGGCGACGCTGGCGGCTGCTGCGCTGCCCTCTTGTTTCGCAGCGCTGCCTCCTCATGCTGCAACGCACACTCTCCTGCTGCCTCCTCGCGCCCTCCATAGCTCTGCTCTTTGCTGCGCCGACCCTCGTCACTGTCTGTTTCTTGGTGCGTTGCACCAGCCGTGGCAGCCACTGAGGAGGCAGCAATAGAGGAGGTAACAGCCGTAGATTTGGCAGCAACAGGGGTCGCAGCTAGTCTGCTTCGGAGCATCCCTCGAGTGATCCTCCTCTCTTCGTCCCCTTCCCATGTGATCACGTCCTCCCCTCTCTTCTTCCCGTCTCCTCCCACACACACTTCACCATCTGCACCCTTACGTCTCTTCCTCCTCTCCTCTCGTTCCTGCTCCTCCTCTTTTCCCTCGCTCCCTTCCCTCTCACCTCTCTCCTCTTCCCCATTTTCATCGTTAAAACCTTCCGCTTCCGCATCTTCCCCTTCCCCTTCCGCCTCCCCTGACAAAACCCGCAGCAGTGCCTTCAGAAATACAGCACGGTTGGGAATGGTGGAGTGGAAGGAAGCGGGGATTGCAGGCAACACGCATGTCCGTTCTCGTGCCTGCTCTCCTTGTTGCTCCCCTTGCTGCTCCCCTTGCTGCTGCTGCTGCTGCTGCTGCTGCTGGGCCAGCTGGGTCAGAACCGCGTGGTAGACGGATTGCTGGGAGCCGCAGGCGGAGGTGAGGGGGAGGTAGACGTGGGGACGGCGCATCTGCGTAAGCGCCGCTCGGATCACGGCTGTTTTGCCCGTGCCTGATGGCCCACTGAGGAAGAGCGGCGGCATGCGATCGAACGGTCCTCCGACGTGTAGGAGAATGTCCTCGATCTGCCACGTGGCGGGCGAGATCCGTGGTGATAGTTGGAATGAGGGGGCGGGATGAGAGGGAGTTTAAAAGCAGGAAGTATCCTGGAAAAGTAAAAAGGACTGGGAAAGGTACGATGTGACAAGCGAAACTGAAAGATTGCAATTTGAAGACATGATAACAGATAAGATGATTTGGCCTACTGACCTGTCGCTTCCGGCAGGGGAATCTTGAGCGGAGCTCCTCCGCAACTTCCCTCACATCCATCTCGTCTCGCTGTCGTTAATGTGCGACACTAACTCTACAACATACGGGCGTTACCACCGCCGCTACTAACACTTTCCGCGAGGCAGTGCGAAGGCGCAATGCGGAACCTTGGCTTACAAACGACCTGCTGCTACATCGACGTGCTGAGCTCGGTCGTCTCGAGTCACCAGCAATCAATCTGCCAAAGTGTAAGTATACATTAACAGCCCATGTCCACCAACAGGTAAAGAACTGATGCGCCTACAATTGACGATCAACCTCGCTGTCTGCACCGCAACGTTCGAGCTGTGAAGTGTGTGCTAGGCTTATAAAGTACGGATAAACTCGAATGAATCCCTCAAGCCGGCTCAGGTATGCAGTCAGGCTGGAATCGCCTTTAAAGAGAAAGCGGCCATCCAAGACTACAGCCGCGCGAAGAGCGGTCCAATCGAGAACAAGAGAAACCAGCTGAGGGGTTGCGGTAGGAGAGAAGCCGAATAGAAGGAGAAAGAACCTGGTTTCTACAAACCTGGGAAGCAGAAATGCGGAAAGGTTGAAGTTGGAGGGAGAGGGTGGGAAGGGCGAAAGTCGAGACGCGCTTTGAGGTGAAATGAGAATCCGAATGCCTGAAAATGCATGCAACATTTGGCGGGAAGGATTGAACGGCTTCCTAAGTGTACACCGCAAGTATCATTCATCATTGCAGCTAACCTCGTTTCGAGAAACATGCTAAGCGTCTGGTTACCCGAGTTATATGCTCGCGTTTCTCACTTTCGCCACCCACAGTCACGACGAGCGAGTGGTTTATCCAAACATTCACGCCCCTTGGTGTTGCCAGAGGCCAATTTTGTTGAACCCCGCATCAATCCCATCCATCCCATCTGCCGTACTCCCACCCCACTCCACCGAATCCCACCATTTCAAATAAACTGCTGCTCGCCACACTTTCTGATCAGCATCAAGGCAGGCAGCATTGCTGAAAGATCCTACATCCTCACCAATTCCTTTCCTTTCGTTTCCCACAGTTCCTCCTCCGCATTGCGGCTGTAACTTAGTTTTTTTTACAATCGCGCAACACGCCATTGGTCCCTCGTCCACTTGTTGGTGGTGAAATCAGCACAGAAATTGCCTCTGACCAGGACAGTGCGCATAAGTTCAAGTAACCATCAGTTTTCTGCATAAGCAGTTTTTTTGTCAGAATGGCCGGGGGGAGGAGCGGCCACGGGGAAAATGCTCTGGCTGCGGCAGGTCGCCACGTGGCGGGAGTGGGGAAGCACGTGGAAGGCGCGTGCCGAGCCATGTGGGTGGAAGTGTCCAATCACGGGCAGAAGCGCGAGTACCAACTTGTGGGGGGCGGCGGCGGTTTGATTGAGGTAAGTGTTTTTATAAGGAGGAAAGGGGAACGGAGGGTATTGAGAGGGGATAGAGAGAGTGTGGGTTGGGGAGAAGGCTTGAGGGGTTAGTGAGGCTTAAGCCATGCAAGCGGTTTGCTTCCCTTCCCCTCTCCCCCTCCCCTCCTCATCCTCCCCCCTCCTTTTCTTTAGGTAATCCCTACATGCATTGTCTTGAAAAAGCCCTGTCAGTCCCCCTCACCTGCTATTCCATGATGCACAGATTCACCCAACCTATTCTTCCTTTCACCCCATTGCATGCGACCTGGCATGGCATGCGGCATGTCATGGCATGGCACGGCATGGTGGTGGCGTACACACGGCATGACATGGCATGGCACGGCATGGCACGTCATGGCACTGCATGGCATTGCATTGCACTGCATTGCATGGCATGGTATGGCACATGCGGCATGGCAGGGGCACATCGTACCAGACACGCGCTCCATCCCCGATCGCCTCATAGCCGCCTTCAAGGACAAGTTCTTCCCCATGGGTTATCCTGACAGGTAGGGCTATGCCATCCCGATAGGTAGAGCTATCCCGACGAATACGGCTACCCCAACGAATAGGGCTATTCCGACAATTAAGTATCCAACACCCATATCACATGCTCCATCCCCGATCGCCTCATAGCAGCCTTCAAGGACAAGTTCTTCCCCATGGGTTACCCCAACCCCAATAGGTACACCACACCATTTTGATAGATGGGCCTATCTGGATAGGTGGGGCTATCCTGATAGGTATGGGTTAGGTATGTTATGTAAACCCAGCAAGTAGGGTAAGGCTATTAGGACAGAGGCGTTAACCCACCATCCCTCCATCCCGCTCTCCTCCCACTTCCCACTATTTCTCCTTTCTCCCCTCCCCCCTCTCTCCAGCGTGGCAGAGGGCTACATGCTGTTCTCGCAGTACAGGGGCATTCAGCACATTGCTGTGGCTGCTCTCAACGTGCTCTCCACTCAGGTGAGCGGCAGGTGCCTATCTCGAGTACTTTCACGTACATGGCTGCACACCACTCCCACTCCCACGACGCCCTTAAACTGCTACTCCCACACTCCCACTCCCACAGTCCGACACGACATCCACACCGCATTCCACCGCCCCCATTCCACCCCAGCCCTCCTCCCACCACACACCAGTCCCTCTTCTTTGCAGCCGGGCTGCGTCCCACGCCAGCGCATGCCACAACCGTGAGCTGGGTGGTGAAGGACGGGATGCAGCGGAGCTCTGGGATCATTGTCGCACGGGACCCATGTGACCTCCCTTTCAATCCCCATACCCCCCTCCCTCCCTCCCACCACACATCAGTCCCTCTTATTCGCAGCCTGTCTCCGCCCCACGCCAGCGCAGGCCACCATAGTGAGCTGGGTGGTGAAGGACGGGATGCAGCGCTGCACTGGGAGCACAACCAAACCTCCCTCTCTCCCCTTTCTTTTCTCCCTCCCACACACCAGTCTCTCCTCTTTGCAGCAGGCCTGCGTCCCACGCCAGCACAGACCACCATATTGAGCTGGGTGGTGAAGGACGGCATGCAGCATGCCAGCACCTGAGAACCCTTATCTCCCCTTTGTCTCCGTACTCCCACGCCACTCCAGTCGCTGCTCTTTGCGGCAGGCCTGCGCCCCACGCCAGCACAGGCGACCATAGTGAGCTGGGTGGTGAAGGACGGCATGCAGCATGCCAGCAAGATCGCAGCCAGTCGTCTCGGGCGCAGCATGGACGCCGATCCCAAGCGCTGGCGCGTGGCCGCTGACGTCGTATGCGATGTGGGGGCGTTTCTGGAGTGCCTCTCCCCGCTCATGCCCCACCGCTTTTTGTTGCTCGCCGGGCTTGCCAACGCGGGGAAGGTGAGTGATAGAGGCCGTGTGTTGATGCATTCAATGCTCAATGGGATGCTCTCTTAGAGACGTCTCAAAACCAGTCATCTCGGGTGCAGCATGGATGCCGATCCCAAGCGCTGGCACGTGGCCGCTGACGTCGTGTGTGACGTCGGGGCGCGTTCCTTGAGTGCCTTTCCCCCTTGATGCCGCACCGTTTTCTGCTGCTCGCTGGCCTTGCCAACGCGGGAAAGGTGAGTGAGGGAGGCCATTTGTCGATGCATTCAATGCTCCTGTCATTCAATCTTTGAAAAGTCTCAAAACCAGTCGTCTCGGGCGCAGCATGGACGCCGATCCCAAGCGCTGGCGCGTGGCCGCTGACGTTGTCTGTGATGTGGGGGCGTTTCTTGAGTGCCTCTCCCCGCTCATGCCGCATCGCTTCCTGCTGCTCGCTGGGCTCGCCAATGCTGGGAAGGTGAGTGAGAGGCCGTGGGTTGGTGTGTCGTGTGTGACGTTGGGGCCTTCCTCGAGTGCCTCTCGCCTCTCATGCCCACCGCTTTTTGCTGCTCGCTGGCCTCGCCAACGCGGGGAAGGTGAGATTGGGGCCGCGTGCTGATACAGTCTTGAGGTGCTAAAGAAATCTTGAGGTGCCTCAATAAAATGTTAGCAAGATCCCAAGCGCTGGCACGTTGCTGCTGACGTCGTGTGTGATGTGGGGGCCTTTCTTGAGTGCCTCTCCCCGCTCATGCCCCACCACTTTTTGTTGCTCGCTGGGCTCGCCAACGCAGGGAAGGTGAGCGTGAGGTCATGTGTTGATGCATTTGATGCGCTCTGAGATTCTATTTCTGTGTGCATTGTTGCTCCTGCCTCTCTCTCCCCCCTCATGGCGCACTGCTTCCCACCCACCCTGCCCACCACAGGGCCTGTCACTGGTGATAGCTCGTGCCACGCGTCTGTCGCTGTATGATGCGTTTGCAAAGGAGGGCAACATCAGCAGTCTGTACGCAAAGGGCTTTAAGTGCACACCCCTCCTTCCCTCCACTCTCCCCGCCACAGGGCCTCTCACTCGTAATCGCACGAGCGACCCGCTTGCCGCTGTATGATGCATTTGCAAAGGAGGGCAACATCAGCGACCTGTACGCCAAGGGCGAAGCCATCAGCGTCCTCTCCTCCCTCCTGCTCTCCCCACCCACCCACTTTCTTCGCCACAGGGCCTATCACTGGTGATAGCTCGTGCCACGCGTCTGCCGCTGTACGATGCATTTGCAAAGGAGGGCAACATCAGCGATCTGTACGCCAAGGGCGAGGCCATCAGCGTCCTCTCCTCCCTCGCTGGCCTGGCCCTCGGCCTCAAACTCGCCTCCTCTGTCTGCCAGACAGCACAAGCTAAGGTAACTATTTGTCGACTCAGCACAAGCTGAGGTTTTCTTTTTACCCAACTCATCTCCTCATCCCGCCATGCTCCACCAAGCCTGTCGACTCATCTCTCCGCTCACCTCTCCCCACGGTGCCACCCACCTGCACCTACAGCTGGCAGCAGTGCCGGTGCTGGCGGCGGTGCATCTGTGGTCGGTGACAGAGGAGATGAGGGCCGTGCCAATCAACACTCTCAACGCTCAGCGCACCAACGTTCTCATCAACCACTTCCTCTCCGTGAGTCGCCGAGTGCTTTTAGTCACCCTCGCTGAAGCTCATCAGAGCAGCAAGCTATCGAGCACAGCAGACATGCAGCAGCGTTTTATTTACCACATGCCTGGGAAATGTTTTCATGCGGTTTCTTACATGATCTCTTCCCACCAATGCCCCCGCTCCTCTCCTCTCCTCTCCCTGGTGTGTATCAGAGTGGCGAGCTACTGAGTCCAGTGGACATGCGGTGGAGGGAGAACATTGTGAAGCCCGACCCGCCGCTCACACTGCCTGCTGCCCACCGCCTCGCCCTCCAGCCTGCACCACATGTAGGCAATAAGACCAGCAGTGGTAGGAGCAGCAGCACTGCTAGCGCCACCACCACCACCAACACTGCCACCACCAGCACCAACAGCAGCAGCAGCAACAGCAAGAGCACGAGCAGCAGCAGCAGGTTGTGTGTGGGAGCTCCTCTTGCAGAAGCCCTGGGATCCCCAAGCGACTTGGCCAAGCTGAAAAAACTCTTCTCCAATGAGAAGTTTCTTCTCAGCTGCCCGGAACGGGACGCAGCGGGTGGTGTCCCTCGGAAGATGCATCTGATCCTCCACAAGACAGCGGACGGCCAGGATGCAATCAGAGCTTGGCTGCTAGCGTCCTGCATCAGCCAGGCAATCAGCAGAAAGGCACAGGTAGCTGGAAAGAGCAGCACAGGGGGTGCTGGATGGGGTGACTGGGAGGGGAGTGTGCGGGAGGCATATGGAGAGATGGAGCAGCTGCTGCCACACATGCTCAGGGGGTTGAAAGACAAGGAATGGCACACTCATTCGTTCCTGCAGGGCTCCACAGCTAGGAGGGCAGTGTGGTGATGATAATCGCTACATGCTTGTGTGTGTGTGTATGATAAGAGCGTGTTCCTATCCTCGTATCAAGACAACCTCGTATCAGGCCTACACTGGATATTCCCCTAAACCCAAAACCTCGCTAGTTTTACCAGGCAAAAACAGCATTCTTGATATGAGGTTTCCTGATATGAGGCTATAGGAACACGCCCTAACTTCCTTTCAAAGTTTAATGGAGTCACATAATGGAGCTATTTCAATCAAACAAACACTAGGCAGGCAGGACAAGCAGCTCATTGTATGGTTAACACCTGTCAAGGGTGTGGACACAGAGGACAAGCCTAGTAACAAACTATTTACAATTCAAGCTGGAGCATCCAGCCAATAGCATGACATGATAACTAATGTACGACATGAACAAACGAATTTTAGGCCGTTTGAACTTCACAAGGTGCCGACACCAGTTCTCTTGGTTTCCGGCTCTAATTCCGGCTCTAGCTCAGGCGGTGGCGTGAATTCCGGCGAGTCTAGATCCGCCAGGTTCTTGAGATCGACCACGGATAGCATGTCCAACTTGCGAACCACTAGATCCGCAGCACCCAACTCATACACTGGGTGCCTTCCTGCAACGGTGACAACCTGAGGAGAACACACAAGGATGTGTCAGTAACATAGTACAGAAGGAAACAGATGCGGAAGGAAATCGACAGAGAAAGGGTGCCCACCTTCATGTAAGCATCGTGAGCCGCCTCTATGGTGGAGTTGGAGCTACCAATGACGATGCAACGCTCGGGAATGAATTGCAGTCGCTGTGCCGCATACTGCAACAGAAAAGGTTGTGACACGAAAACATGAAAAATTGTCCAAAACGTTGTCAAGAACGTTGCCCACCATGATCCGAGATTGACAACAAAGAACTACCAGCAACACTGGTTAACGAAGTTGCTAAGACCCACCTGGTACATCTCGGGATCCGGCTTTCCTCTCTGCACGTCATCCGCGGAAATGACAGCATCGAAGAAGCCCTCCATGCCCACAGCCTCAACCGCTCGCTCCAAGTATCTCGCCGGACGAGTCGACACAATTGCCACCGGGATCTTGCACCGCTTTAGGGTGTCCAGAAATTCTCTGGAGCCGGGGAGAAGCCTGTAGCAACCTCCCTGAAACTGCTCATACAGCTCTTCTTTTCTCTGCGACAATCTCCGTACAGTCATGAAGTCGCGCGACCAGCAAAGCACTTCGCGAATAACCTGCTCGTTTTTCATGCCTTCTGCCCGCTTAAGGATCCAAACGGGAGGCTGGGCGCGGCCTTCCTCTTCCGCAAGAGCTATCCACGCCTGCCGTTCAAAAACAGAATCGTCTTCAATCACCACCCCCTCCCACTCCAACAGCACGGCCAGCCATCCGCATCCCATGCGCTCCAGTCTCCTCAACGGGTTGTGCAGCGACAAATCGTCAGCCCTGTCGCTAGGTACAAGAGTTCGCGAAGGAACCTGTGGCATCTGAGGAAAATTCTCCTTCAAGAAGCTCTGAGCCTCCCAAGGCTTGAAACGAGGCTCGAAAGTCGCTTCTTCCATGGCTTCCATGGCTGACTGTACAGGCACGTGCCTCCGTCGCTCCGCCTCGTTCCATGACGAGCTCAACCTGGCATTGCTTTTAGGGAGCCTAGCAGGAAATAGAGCTCTGCTGAACGACGCAGACTCGTTCGAGCGGACGTTGCAGCTGAAACTTATACCTGTTAAACTGCAAAGCTGCTGGGAAGTCACTGTCGCCATGCCGCACAAACGCAGCAATGACAAGTACAGAAACTAGAAGACGGAGCAGAACAAGAGTAAAGCAGTCCTTGTGCCAGATCGAGGATGGAGAATTCAAAATGGAACGGGAAGAGTGAGTAGCGGACGTTGGACCAACTGTCAAGGCCAGCAGCATATGAGCAATGAGCCTAGGGAGATGAAATCAGAGTTTGGTGGTGGTGAGGGAACGGATGCTCGGAGGTGGGGCAGAGGCCAAGCAAGCAGAAACCAAACCCTACCGAGCCTGAAGTTGCTTCGGGACCGACAGCTCCGCCCGAACTGAAATTGCCAGAAACGTCAGTTCAGCCGTGGTCAGTTCGCCAGCCAGCACTGCCCGAAGCAACAATAAAAATCCGGTTCGGACAAGTTCGAGCGCAACCCAACATTGCGGGCACCTGGCACGGTCTGAACCAAGGAAATGAAAAAGGCACATTTTGGGCATTTCCAACCAAAGATCCATTTTCATGGGGCAGATACAGGAAAAGCACCGCCTGTATCTGGTCATGTGGAACAGATTCCATTTGCGATGGAGTAGCAATGACCTAGACGGATGATGGGATGAAGGGGCTGGAAGGAAGGGATACCTGCCCACCCAGGCTTCAGGGATTCTCGCGACACCATTCGTCAAAAACAGCGTGTTTCCCGCTAAGAGGTGGGAAACAAAACAAGACGGGCCTATTAGCCACGATTTCCACGTGACGCTTCGTGGAATCAAAGGGAGCCACGTCGCAGATCCTGCTGGGTGAAGTGCTTGTGTCACACGCAAGCAACCGCAGTGACCATTCTATTGGGGCAATCGGGTTGCGAAATAACAATGTAGTTGTACAATCAGTGTTTCCAACATAATACATACATGGAATGGTTAGGAGCTCAGAAATGAGTAAGCACTGGAACTTTTGAACATCATACGGTAACAATGCATTTTGCACAACATTACCAAACTCCTATATTCATACAGATCCATGCATAATCTCACAACCAGACATCACCGTCTGCAGAGGGCAATGATTGCAACAAATCAACATCCAACGGAATCCCTAACGACAACTGGAACAGCGCCAGTGAAAGTGCCATTGTTGCCCCAAAAGCAGCAGCCAGCTTCTTGGAGTCAGCTGGTTCCACCACCAACTCATACGACTCCTCGTTTGTTTTCTGGCTGAGCAGAGAGTTGAGAAGCCCTTGCTGCCGCTTGGCTGCCTCCTCATTGGATATCTTCACTTTGCGCATGGTTGGAGCTGCAATGCTGCCGAAAAGAAAGCCCGCTAGTGCCGCTCCAGCATGGGTGCTGTGGGGGGGAGATAGGGCCATGGGGAAAACTGAAATGAAGAGCTTGTACACAGAACAAGCAAGCAAGCATGTGTGAGAAGTTTGCCCCAAGCAGTGGGTGGGATGCAAAGGGGGAACACTAAGTGCTGGAGGTCACCACAGGTGCCATGTCGACAGACATGCCAATACTATGAAGCGACAGGCACAACCATCTGTCTGAGTGGGGAACAACGACAGCATTGCATGTGCAGTGCTAACCTGTAAGACAAGCCCCCTCTAGCGAGCCCATCCTTTCCCTTCAGCTGAGTGTGAGCGACGGGCGTGGACTACTTTTCTTCCAAAAGAGAAACATGTTACACGGAGCCACGTGTCGTGTAGGCCTGTCGCTTGCCAACGCCTCCCTGACAGAAGGAGATGATACCAATTCCCTTATCATTCACGAGCAAGTCGGCCGGGAGTGGCACTCACGAGGGGTCGATGGGCAGGGGGTTGGCAAAGAGGGCAAAGAGCGCAGCGATGATGAGCGACTCGCGCACATTGCTGTCTGCTGTCTCCGTGCCGATCACCTCCCGGTTCTTTATCAGAAACGCCGCATACGCTGCTGCCACCCCGTACACTGGGCCCTGCAGGATGCATTGCCATGGGTGACGCAAACCGGAGTGATCGGGCATGGGGAGTGCGAGGGAGAAGTCTGTGCGAGTGTGGGGCTGTTCTGTAACCATGAAGCCATGGAGGTGAACAATGAGACGCCGCAATACAAGAGGTGAGTTGCAGTGGCTAAGGAGACAGGAGGAGCAGGGGGAACGCCTAAGGGAGGGAGAAAAGAGAGGGAATGGGACCCTCACCGTGCCGCCAACGGTAACGTCAGGCGTCTGCAGAAACGAGGTGATGTTGCCTGCGAGGCCAGAGGAGAAGTAGACTGCGAGCAGACCCAGGGGGCCGATGGCGAACTCCAGCACACTGCCCAGGCCCAGCAGGAAGAACGTGCCCACTGAAAGGTGGATGATTCCCGCGTGCTGTCAGTGGGTGGGGGGGGAGGGTGGAGCGGGGAAGTGAGGTTCACAGTACAACGCACACTGCCGATGCCCAGCAGGAAGAACGTGCCCACTGACAGGTGGATGATTCCCGCGTGCTGTCAGTGGGTGGGGGGGGAGGGTGGAGCGGGGAAGTGAGGTTAACAGTACAACGCACCCTGCCGATGCCCAGCAGGAAGAACGTGCCCACTGACAGGTGGATGATTCCCGCGTGCTGTCAGTGGGTGGGGGAAGGGTGGAGCAGGGGAGGTGAGGTGTATGTGGGGGGGGGAAGAAGTAAGGTAAGCTGGTGATGGATGATGATGGTGATGGGTCCAGTCCAGACCAGAGTACAGCACACACACTGTGACACTGCCTATGGCAGGCAAGAAAAACGTGACCACCGAAAGATGGATGATGCTAGCATGCTGGGAACGGGGGTTTTGGGAAGTGGGAGGGAGGAGTGGGTGCGGGTAGAAGCTGGGTCAGGTAACGATCGAGGATAGAAAGAACTGGAAGCTGATTGTTCAGAATGGCAAGAGGAGAAAGCAGGACAATACGCCATCAGAAGCTGGAAGCAGGAAGGACGGGAAGGTGGCGGGCAGCGGGTGGGCACGTGGACGTACGAGGAGGGAGGGCGTGAGGAGGCGCCACCACTCGCCGGCCTCGATGAGTGGGTTGACCTTGGCAGCGAGCAGCGCTGGCAGCGACGTGGTGATCACTCCTGGCACCGCCTCGGGACTGGCGAGCTCAAACAGGAACACCGCAATGTTGATTGCCACTAGCGTGTAGCTGATGAAGGTGACAGGGCAAGGATGGGGGAGGGGCGGAAAAGGGGGGAAAGAGGACGAGAGTGAGGGAAGGCGGAAGGGTAGGAACAGGGCTGGCGAGCTCAAAGAGGAAAACCGCAATGTTGACCGCTACTAGTGTGTAGCTGATAGCGTTGAAAGAGGGA